TTTTACTTACTTTACTTACTCACTTTATCAAGATATTTTACAACTAAAGTGTGGAAGAATAAATTGTTGTATCAACCTGGTCCTGTACCTACAAAATACAATAACCCTAAGCCTTCATAAAGACCTCGATTTCTCTCAATTTCAATCGTGCTGACGCCTATGTTTGCTCATTAAGTAGCAACGGACACTGTGTTTTGATTGCGGATCGCAACGTCCCTCCAAGGTCCCAGCGCCTTCTTCGTTAATCTCTATCACGACTACATATCAATTACCTTTCATACACTCCTTCTTTGAAAATCATGATATTGTATTTTAGAGGCCGTTTTCCTCAATTATCTGTTCATATGCCTCGATCCTTGCTTCAAAGTTTACTAGGCGCCGGTGGCTTTTTGACTCAGAAAATTCTCGAATATACCGTTTCAAACTACTTTCAAAAAATATTTTTTGGACAACCAAAATCATTAAAAATTTCCACTAGCAAACAAAAGCACCTTGCATCTTCAATTTCGTCGTACAGTTAAGCTTAAAAGAGAAATTTTTTCTTTTTACTTATCATATCAAGAGAAGGACACAATTCGTCGAAATGCAAAAAGCGACAAATATCATAGATGCAGCAGAAAAGTGCCAAATTTGTCGTCCATTTCCAAAGGTTTTCATACATGGAGATTACTTGTATCAAAAATGGAGTACACAATTTGCAAAGAAAAGACTCGGAATTCCATTTTTGATCCACGACAGCACTACGTCAGACACCGTCACTAAGTATTCCATCAGAAAAAATTTCTTGCTTGCTGTTTTACGCTAAAGTTGATGCGTTAGGCAAATAATTCCAGGGTACATAAGCTATTTTTTGTTAGGTGGAAAACAATTTCCGTAGATTTCCTCAGAAGATGATTGGCAGGTAGGGAAACAGATATGAAATCAACGTTTGCATTTGACAGTATTCATTATTAAAAAATCAATCCGATTGAACAAAGTCTCTTCAAAAAGAAAACGAAATTCTTGGTGAGTTCTATAGCCAATTTTCCAAACTCTAACATTCTCTCTTGTACAACAACACTTATTTACGTATACTACAAGTTATACTGGATGACTAATTTCTGAAAATATTAAAACTTTCATGCGCTATCGAGCGCATAACAAACCTCTGAGTATAATGATTTCATTTCTGGCAAACATAGTATGACAGAGAGTGAACAGATCTGAGCTGTTATCAACACGACGACGCTATGTAAAAGGGTACAAAATCTGTCGCAAGGCATCTTAATATTAGCTTACAATTGAACATGACCATCCAAGCTTCCGTAGAAAAAGTAATTTTCCAAAATTCTTTTTTCTCGCTACCCTTCGGAATGTTGGTTCTAAAAATGATGAGAATTGCTTATTCTGCCAGCGAACCTTGGACAGGGGCCAAAATTGGGCCCGCATTAGACTCGGGCCAATGTCGCAGTATTCGCCGTCATTCGGCACATCACCTCGGCCGCCGTCATCGCCCATAGCACATGCCACAGGAGCTCCCATCGCCGAACCTGAGTCCGACATTTCGGAGTACAATCTGCAGAATACTCGAGGTAATGGTTAGACGCTTGAATTTGATAGTGGAATG